TGAAATGTAATTCTAATTTTTATTTATCGAAAGTAAAAGCTTTTTAATAATTATTTAATAATTCAATAATAATAATAATAATAATAATAATAATAATAATAATAATAATAATAATAATAATAATAATAATAATAATAATAATAATAATAATAATAATAATAATAATAATAATAATAATAATAATAATAATAATAATAATAATAATAATAATAATAATAATAATAATAATTTTGTTATTAGTATTAATTTAATTAATATTAACTCTTTTTATTAATTTTTTAAAGAACAAAGAAATTTTCAACTATATTAAATTTTAATAATTTTATAGCAATTTTTATATGATAATTTATTTAAATAATTTTGAAATTTATTTTCCAATTTTAATTTTCTTTCTAATTTCCAATAAATAGAAAAATTTTAATATCTTAAAGTTGTTAATTTTTAATAATTTAATTCAGTGTGCCGTTGAATTACATATGTGAACGCATTATGATCAGTAAATAATTTGCTGATTAGTTAATAATTTATATATTATAAGAAAAAAAAAAAACAAATCAACATCATAACTTAAATATAAAACGACAGAGTTCTTTACATGCTTTCATCATTGATTATGAAAGTACAAAATGATGACTGTAATACATGTATATTTATATATATACGATCAAGTTTATGATCATCTTAATTAAAAAATTAAATTGAACTGAACTTCAGTGAAATATGTTATAAACTTTCAATTACAAAAGTGTTTAAACTTTTATATTTACACGAACATAAAATCAACACTATGCAAAAAATTAGATTATTATAAAATATGTAAAAAAAGAAAAAATGATTAAAACACTGCCTTATTGAAATAAAATGTTTTTTTTAAAAAAAATGTTTTTTTAATAAAATAATTTTCCAAAAGAAATATTTTTTTTTAATAAAATAATTTTACAAAAGAAATATTTTTTTTAAACAACAATGTTTCAAAAGAAATATTTTTTTTTAATAAAATAATTTTTGAAAAGAAATATTTTTTTTAGCAAAATAATTTTTAAATCAAATGATTATTTTTTAAATAAAATAAATACTTTAAACTAAATATATATGGTATTTGAAACAAATTCTTAAAGTTTAGAATATTTTAATAATATAAGCGAAATTAGTATGCAGCTAATGTTTCTTTTATTTCATAATAATTAATATTATCAGTCATATTTTGATTTATAAAAAAATTTGATTATGAAGACGAATTTTAATAATTATTCAACGCGCAATGCCAGACAAATAAAATGCAAAAAAAATTTACATATATATATATAGTTGAGCGTATAAATCATCAAGGATTTATCTATATCAAAAAAAGGATAAAGTTCATACAACCAAATGATTTTTTTTTTAGAATACTAATTTGCAATAGACGATTTTAATAATTTACTAATCCTGCAGGTTAATGAACTTCTATATATAATAATTTTTAAACGCCACGAATAAAAAAAAATACCTTATAATAAATTCCTTTTTTACTACTAGTTAATTTTTTCTAATTAATAATCACTAATTCAATTTAATTAAATTTTTTACTATTTTCATTGTAAATAGCGAGAAAAAAAAATTAATAAATAAATAATAAATTAATAGAAATGTCAAACAATAAAAAAAAATGCATTAAAAATAATTAAAAAAAAAACGATGTGAAAAATAATAAAAACTTGAGTGAAATTATTCAATATAAAGATGCGGAAAACTAGCGTGTAAAAATACAGTTATATGGTTTGTTTGTTTATATATATACATTAAAAATACGTATTGAACTGGAAAAATATTTAGTATCTAATAAACACACTTTACCATTATAGATTTTGTTTACATGTATGTGTTTGTGTGCAATTATTATAATGTTGGTTATTACGGAATCCTCTATAATGCTGATATACCTTTCTCCGATACCCGCGTAAATTTCATTTGTCACAACCTAATTCCCCATTTCAGATGTCGTAAATCAAAGAAATTATTTCACATCTAAGAAAAAAAAAATTTTTTAATCACCAAATGATTTTAAAAAATATAAAATTACTAATTACTAGAAATTTTCTCATTTTCAGGCTTTATTAATTTAAGCATAAATTCTATGAAATATTTTTTAATATTCTATATTGGACAATTATTATTATTATTATTATTATTATTATTATTATATTATTTTTCTTATTATTATGATTTTCTATATTATTATCATTATCCATAATTTAATGTAAATTAATAAATAAAGTAGGTTCAATAGCCGTGGTCGTTAAAGTACTCTTAGAAGATTAGGTTAGGTCTTAGATAAAGTAGTGCGTTAGGGGTTCGATCCCCGATGGGTTCAAATCGATTCGAATGTTAATTTGTTTCTTTAGAGTTAATGTAGAAAATTATTTAATTATAAATAAATATAAATAAATAAAAGTATTTATTTATAAATAAATATAAATAAATTAAAGTATTTATAAATAAATATAAATAATTGGACTTATAAATCATTAAATAAATTTTAGACAAACATAAAATTTATCATCAATTCAAAAAGTATATGAAAAAAAAAATAATATGTAAATAAAAAAAAGGAAAGTGAAAAAAAAAACCCCACGCGGTAAAATTAATGTAATCACAATCTAAAAACATTAGAGAAAGTTTGTGTACTTTTTCCTTCTTTAAAAAAAAAATACACAAAGTTAACGATCATTGTTGATATGAAGATAATGAGAATTAAAAGACAAATTGCAAGATTTTTTTCCTGACATTTTTGCCAAACTGTCATAATGATTTCGAACATACTTAAATGACACGAAAGTCGATTTACAGTTATAAATATCCTTCCATTTAAATCTACGTCTCAATATGATATCTAGTAATTTAAGATAAATGCCTACTTAGAAAATCATTCACACGCATCTACACGAAAGGAAAAAAAAAAAAAAAAAATTTTTTTTTTATTGTGTATGTGTGTATGTGTCGATGATGTCGTCAAGGAAGCGAAATACCCGTAACAGAGGTCGTTTCGCTCGACGAAACCTCGTGCTAAAACCACGTGGAATCATTTATCAAAACGAAAAAAAAATTCTCGAAAAAACAAAAATAAATAAATAAATAAATAAAATTATTATTGGACAAAAATATAAATTTTGATGAATAAAAAATTTTTTAATTTAAAAAAATCTATTTTTCTCATTTGTCATATTAAGATAATTTATTAACCGAAAGGATTTATTTAAATTTACACTGAAAAAAAAATTTATTTGATTCAAATACCGGTGTATTTGGTTATTATCAAATAAATATTTACTTGAATCAAATATTTCTTATTTGAATCAAATAAATGGTATTTGCTTCAAATACTGAAATATTTGATTCAAATACTATATATTTGATTCAAATAAGAAATATTTGATTCAAGTAAATATTTATTTGATAATAACCAAATACACCGGTATTTGAATCAAATAAATTTTTTTTTCAGTGTAATATTAATTTAAATAAATTTATGAAATTCCTTAAATTTATTTATTTAAATTTAATTTATTACACCAGGAAAGATGTAAATAAATAAATAATATTAAATTAATTTATTTAAGTAAGTAAATAACAAAAAATTAATTTATTTAACTAAATTTAAACTTTAATTTATTTTTAAATAAATTCTTTAAAAAAAAAAAATATTTTTTTCCTATTACAAAAAAATCTTTTCTTTTGTCTTTTTTTTTTCTAAAATTGGAACTTTCTCGCAGAGCGACTCGGAACCGGAAAAAAAAATTGAAGAGAAGAGAAATCGGAAGACAAATTATTGTGATTGAATATCCGTTACTTCAATTTGTAACGATTTTGAACATTTAATTTTAATGCAATGTTTAGTTTATATCTACTATACGGTTATTGAAAGTACATGCGGTTCGTTGAGTTCATGTATGAACATTTCCTATTATTAACGATTGTGAAACAAAATCTTATTTTGCCTTTGAAACATATATGTAACGATTTTAAAAAAAAGACTTCACTAAACCGTAATTTTCAATAGACACTAATTGTTTTTGATTTTTATTTAAATTAAAATTATTTACAATTAGAAAATTATTGGACTATATATTTTACATTCACGTAAAAAATTTTTTTTTTTAATTATTTCGTTCATTTCAATGAAATATTTAATTATTAATTAATTCATACGCATTTTAATTTTTAATTAAAATTAATTAATTAATAAATTCATACAAATTTGAATTTAAATTTTTAATTAAAACTAACTATTTAATTTTTTAAAAATTGTTTTTAAAAATTTACCCAAAGAAATGATTTTTTTAATAAAAGAATATTTGATTTAAAAAATCATTACATTTAGTAAAATTTTATTTTTTAATTTTAAAAAGCTTAGAATCAAAGAAAATGTTCAATTTTTTTCGTACCAAATAAAGAAAGCAGAAACCGTTCTTTCAATTAAAAAAAAAAACTGTTTCCCTACGGTAGGAACGAATCAGTGCATTTAAATGAGTCAAAGTCAAAAGTGATTAAGTCAGATTTGTTGAGTAACGAATCAATTTACGAAGGACAATTTTGTACACAAAATTTCGAATAAAAAAAAAAAATAAAACAATTAAAATCTAATTTATATAATTTAATCTCTAATTTAATTAAATAAAATCTAATTATTATTTTTAATCTATTATAATTTAAAAATTTATTTATTTTTATTTAATTAAATTTATTATTTAAAAATAAAAATATTTATGTAAATTTAATTAGAATTTCATTAAATTTTAATTAAATTTATTAAATAAATAATTTAAAAAATTAATGACTTTCATAATTCTTAATATAAAATTAAATATTTCGCAAAAAAAAAAAGATTTCGCGATTTTTATATTCTATAAAAAAAAATGTATAGAATAAAAATGTTTAAAAAAAAAGCAAACGCGAATACGAAATGATTGGGAAATAAAATTCTTTATAATTAAACAATGAAAAAAAGTTAAATTACTTACACCATCGTCTAAGAAATCCACTTTGTAGTTTAGCACAAATCCCACGATGTACCCTCATCTTGTTTTGTAATCTTTCTCACCGGTTCACTTCGAGGTTGACCCTCTCTTCTTTTAATTTGAACTGCACACAACACTCAAAGCCTCTCCTATCAATCAATATCGATTGATCGATTTTTCCCCAGATCGCTCGTGATCTTATTTACTGTCAAGTATATGTTTTTTTTTAAATTTAAATATTTTTCCTTTTTTTTAATTTCCCTATGTAGAAAGAATTTCTTTACTCATGAAAAAACTAAAATTTCAAAAATTTTGAAAAATATTTTTTTTTTCGAAAAAGGAATAATTCTCTTTTTGCTTCCTTGAAAAAAAAAAAAAAAATTCGTCGCTGAATTTATAATGATTTGAATTTCAAGGTGATCGACCGCTTATATTCAAGCTATACGCGAATTTTTAAGTATATATTTGAATTATAGATTCTTCTAATTAAAGTGTTCAGAGTTCAATGACATTTATTTTACAGAAAAAAAAATTGTGTATTTTAGAAATTAAGATTTGTTATATTAATTTTTTTATAAAAAAAAAATATAATATTCAAGGTTTTTTCTCCAAAAGAAAAAAAATATATTTAAAGAAAGATATATATAACGGTTCTTTTACGAAATTTATGAATTCTTTATTACGAAATACGTGTTGCTTTTTTATTTTTCATAAAAAAAAAAAAAAATCCCAGAAATTAGAGGCAATTCAGAGTTTAAGGAAATCGTTTTAAACGCACACGAAGTGAAATGAACGATAATATATTTAGTTTGAATAAAAATTTTATCTCCGTCGTTGAAAAACATAAAAAAAAATTTTTAAAAGTCAAATAAATTTTATTTATTATTGTTAATTTTTCGTAAAAATAAGAAAAAAATTGTTAATTTTTAATTTTAATTATAGATAATCTAAATTTAATCAATTAATAATAAAAATAGTAGAGAAATAGGTATTTTTTTTAGAAATTTTTTTTATCAAAAAATTATGTTTTAGAAAAAAATTAATTCAATATATGTTTTTAAATTAAATTTTACATATCCAATTAGAAAATTTTAACTCGGTTCCTTATGTAAAATATGACACAATAATATATAATCCGCATGCGTTCCAAAAGAGAAACTATTTAATGATAAGGATCAATGATCACCTTAGAACCAAAAATTAAAAAAAAATTAAAAATCTACAAAAAATCGAAATAGGTTTTATATTTTTAAAGAAATTCTTTCTAGAAAAATATTTTTGCAAATGAAACGCAAGTATTTGTTTTTTTTTTTTTTTTTTTTTTTTGATATATTTTCAAAATTTATTTTCTCCAAGCAAATTTTTTTTTTTAAACCAAAAGTTAAAGAACTAGAATCAAAATTTTTCGACGCAATAAAGAAATATGATTTTGCTTTCAAAAAGAATTTTGTTTGTACAAAAAAATTTGTTCGAATAAGTTTGCAAAAATAACAATTTTACACATATTGTTGTTTTTTAAACGAAAAATATTTTTTAAAATAAATTTAATAAACAAAATTTTCAATAAAATTCGTATATGTACAAAAATATTTTTTTATAAAATGAAATAATTTTTAATAAATAAATAAATTAATTAATTATTTTGGTATTGTAAATTTAGTTGTTTAAATATTTTTAAGGGTCTTAATTGTAACCAGTATAAGTGATTAATAAATTAATTAATTAATAAATTAAAATTTTGAACGAACAAAATTTTGTTTGCAAAAAAATTTTGTTGAAATAAAAAAAGTGTTTCTTAAATCGAACAAACAAATTTTCAAAAAAAAACTGTACATTGAAAATTATCAAAAAAAAAAAAATAATAACAAATTCTTTCAGTTAAAAGAGCAAAAATTGTATTCTTTGTGATGAATAAAATTGTTTTTTTTTTCTGCAAATAATCCTCGTCCCTTAATTTTGATACTCACATGAGCAAAATTCATAAGTCGTCAATTCCGCGAGTTGTGATCGGACTTGCTGCGCGAGACGAGCGGGCACAAGGAGAAAGTCTGTACCAAGTATGCCGTTGCTGATGACGAAGGAAATGCTTATTGGGAGCGAACTAACGTACTTTTATAAAAAAAAAAAAAAAAAAAAATGTCCAAGCAAAAAAAAATTTTTTTTTTCTTATTTATAATTAATTTTTTTTTTGTTGTTCCTTTATTTTTGTCTCGCAAAAATATTCCACTTTTGTTTTTTAAAGAGCACTTACAATAAATTAAAATCCCTAACAATGACACTATTAAAAAAATAAATAAAATTTTTTTTTTTTTTAATTTCGCGCGAACTCCAACCGATGGATGTTCGGCGATCAATATCGATCTCAGAATGAAGTTCCACTAGTGCCTGTAAAATCGGCTCTGAGTGTTATTGTAGTGAATCTGTTGACGGGGAGGTACATAGAATATATATATATATATACAATGATCGGTTACATATATATAAAATGAGAATCGAAACAGAAAAAAAAGTAAGACACACGATCGGTTCACAGTCGGCCGAGAGACTACAAGACTTTTGCCTGCGTGTGCCGCAGGTCTCTCTGTTCAGGTGAACGATTTATTATTGCCCCCACTTTTCCGCGATCCTACTTGGCTTTTCAACTTGAGTAGTCAATGTTTAGTCCTCTTCGATACGTTCTTCTTCTTGTTCTTATTTTTATATATTTATCATCTTCTTTTATTTATTTTTTTTATTTCTTTACTTTTCTTTGTTTTTTCCTTTTTTTTTTTTTTTTATTTATTTGAAAATTTCTCCTGGTTTTCCTTTTATTCCCTTTTTGTAAAATTGGACAACATTTGGGACGAATTAAAAAATTTTACAAAAAATAATAAAAATTAAAGTTTAGAATTTTTATTAAGAATTTTATTAGATATATGTAATAGTAATTCTCATTTTTCGAATTAGCATTTAATTTAAATTTTTATTAACCGAATTTTTACTTTAAAAAAATGTTTTTACCGAATTTTTATTTTACAAAATTTCTCTTTGCCGCATTTTTATATTTTTTTTTTATTTGCAAAAATATCAAAGAAAAAAAAATTCGAATTAAATCGAAGTTTATAATTTAGCAGAATTCACATTCAGTAGAATTTTAAGAAATTCGAATTTTTAAATGTAAAAATTTCCAATTCGCTTAATTTTTATTTGTTGTAATTTTTAATTGGCAAAATTTGATATTTTTTTAGAATTTTGAAAAACGACAAATTTCTGTTTGTTTGAAACTGCAAATGGGCAACAAAAAAATTGTGAGAAAGATTTGGCGCGATTTTTAAAATTAACCAATTAGAAAATTTTTTCAAGAAAATTCTGAATGATAAATTTTTGAAAATTGTGCCAAAATCTTTCTGTCGATTTTTCATTCGGTTATTTGCAATTTCGGACAAATAAAAAAATTCAACGTTTTAAGAATCAAAATTGTTCTTATCAAAAAATTAAAATTAAGGCAAATGAAAATTTGGGGAATTGAAAATTCTGTCATTTTAAAAATTAAATTCGCACAAAATTTTCTTTGCTGAAAATACTAATAAATTAATTTCAATTAAATTAAATTAAACACATAAAATAAATTAGAATTATTTTTAAAAAAAAAAGGAAAGAGAAATTTTGTCAAATAAAAATTCGGTATCTATAAATTTTGTTTACAGTGAAAATTCGTTAAAATAGTAATTTTATCAAACGATAATTCGTAAAATGAGAATTCGTGTAAAAAAAATATAATAAAATTCTTAAAAATAAAAATTTTAACTACTGATTTTTATGCAACTATTTTCGTGTCTTATTTTATTTGCATTAAATTTCTTTTTTTATTTAGAGTATTAGTTAATTATTTTAAAGGCGACAAACGAGAAAACCTCGTTATATTATATATTTATACTACAAGAACGATGTTAATTAAACTTGTCACGGTTATGGCATATATAATAAGAAAAAAAAAAAATTGTCAATCTTCAATCATTTTATAACATGTTTCACAGGTTGATCTCAAACGACGTCCTAAACTCAATCTGATTACTTAACAATTTCTCCTCGTCACCTAATTTTCATTATCGCGTTAATATATTTACATAATCAATTTCTAGAATTATGATAACAAAATTTATAATTTGCGAAAGTTGTTCAATTTTCGGGATTTTTTTTTTTTTAATTAGTTTAATTACGAAACGAATAAATTCTAAAATTTTCATTTGAAAGAATTTTATTAAATGGAAAATTCATTTTGACAAAATTTTATTTTTCAAATTAGCTTTTAATGTCGAATTTACTTGAAAACGATAATTTTCTCTTAACAAAATATTTTTGTGTAATTCTGTTGTATTAAATAAAATTCAATACAACAAAATTAAAATTCGATTAAATTAGAATTTTAATTCTAAAAATTAGTAAAAATTCGTTTAAACAGAAATTAAATCGAAAAATAAAAAATTAAATTCGGCTAAAAGAAAATTCTACCTAATAAAATTTATGTATTAAATTTCACGGTGCGCCAGAAGGTGGTTTAAATAAAAAAATGAATTGGCACTTAAAAATTCTTTTTGATTATGATTCTTAAATGAATAACAAACATTTCTCAATAGTTTTTAAAATCAGTTTACGTGCCCGATTTAAAAAAAAAAATTAGTTTTTATATAAAAAACAGTAATTTTATGGGGAATCAGAATCTAATAAATACTGTAATAAATGATAAAATAATTACTTATTTTCAATTTTACATATAAATAATTATATTGCTGTAGTGTTTGTGTCCAATTTTAAAAAAATTAAATTATAATGTTAAAAGAACGATTTTAAGAGAGACAAAATTTATTTAAGAGAGTCGAATGGTCTCTGAAATTTGTTTGGCAAGAAGAGACCTTTAATTATCGCTCTATAAAAACGGCACTAAACGTGAAAATGATAAACATTGATTTTAAAATACTTTCTTCTCGAAAGACGGACACTTTTTACAAAAGCAGCTAGAGATCCTTATCTTATATAAATTTCCTAAATCCTAAAAATTATACGAATCCATACAAAAACACGATTGCAAAACGAAAAGTAATATAATGACAGGTACATTACCTCCTGCCGCCGTCAGATGGCAGCAGCATGCAGGGCGCACAACGTCGCAGCTGTTATTAGATTACTTTTCTACTTTTTGTTTCGCAACCATGTTTTTCTATGGATTCGTACAGTCTTTTGGATTTAAAAAATTTATAAGATGAGGATTTTGGCTGATTTTGTTAAAAGTGTTCGTGTTTCGAGAAAAAAGTATTTTAAAATCAATACTATTTCACGTTCAGAGCGATAATTAAAGCTCTCTTCTTGCCAAAGAATTTCAGATACCGTTCGACACTCTTAATGCATAAATATAAAAACGAAACAAAAAAATAACTTTATTGTTAATAAATTTATATGAACCCAAATCTAAAACATCTATTATCTATACGCATATATAAGTATACATTAAATAAATTCTGGTTCCTCATAAAACACTATTTTTAAATATTTAAAACTCAATTTGTTTTAAATTGGGCACGTAAGCTGATTTTAAAACCTATTGAGAAAAGTTTTTTATTCATTTTAGAACCATAATCAAAAAAAATTTTTAAATGCCAATTCATTTTTATTTAAACCTCCTTCTGGTGCACCGTGATTTATCAAATATTTTTTAAAAACTATTTTAACAGTGTTAGGAATAATATTTTTTTCATACATCGTATGTATATCGAGGCGATAAATGAGATATAATTTAGTTGTAAGTTTTTTTTTCTCGATTTGAGTTTGAAACACGACAGTTCAAATAGGTATTATAGGGGCTGCTGGTTGATTATAGCTTTGGAATTTTACTCATCAGAATATAGACAACTTTCCACTTGTTTACTATATACAACTAAATATATATATATATATAAAGTAAAGGGAATATAACATGGAGCAAAGGAGCGTGCATCGAATGTAATTTTTAAAAGCAATGAAAAGTTACGTGTTATTTTTCCTCTTCCTTTCTCCGGAATCATGTAAGTGTTTTAATAAAGACTACGGATATATTCACGGAATTTAAAGGCATTAGCGCACATGGAGATCGAAAGTTATCGATGCTATAATTTATTTACCCCAAACAAAATCAATTTTCATATGTATTTTAAAATGATAAAATTTTCTCCAAATTTTCAAATTTCATATAATTATAATAATAATAAGAAATATTATTAATTCTATTAAAGAATAATTATTAATAATTTTGTAAAATAATAATTATTATTAATTATTTTATATAAGAATTATAATAAATAATTTTAAAAAAAATAAATAATAATTATATACCAAAATAGAATATATTGCAGGATTTTCAAAACAATGATTACGTAATAACTTTATTCTTTTTTTTTTTTAATGGAAAATTATAGTAAATCTTTATAAAATCTATTATAATAAGTTTTTACGGTTAATCATCAGTCTTAAAAAAAATGGTAAATTATAAAAATTGTAAATTATACAACGACTAATAATAATTGTAAATATATAATGGTTCGTAAAATGACAAACATTAAGATGGGGAATAAAAAGAGTTGATTTTAGAAAGGCAAAATTTTATAAAATTGTCATTCGTATTTCATTGCATGAATGCAAATATGATAATAAAAAAATCCATGAAACTTTGCAAAAAAAAAAAAAATAAAAAACATTCTTCATTTTTCATATCTAGTCGAATTTTATGCAGATCACGATTTTTTTATTCTCTTTTATATGTGAAAAAAGATAAGCATCTTGGATTTTTCTCATATATATATTTTTAATTGTTTATATATTCGACAGAAAGTTGTAATTTAAAAAAATTTTCTTCTATTTTTCCAGACGATATATAAACAATTTTTTAAATTCACATATTTATTAATTTAATTATTAAAAATATGTTTAAAAATGTTTAATTTTTTCAATTTGAATTTTTTTTAGTAAAAATAGAATTTATTTCCAAATAATGAAAAAAATAATTTTTTTTGTAGATAAAATTTAAAAATTATATTTTGTTATTAGAAAAATTAATTATTAGCATAAAAATATATGTATCATCTTTGTGATATACAGTCACAGGTAAAAAAAAAGGAAAATTATATGCAAAATAAATTTGCTTCATCAGCAAAGTAAATTATTGTCATTTTTTTTTCCATATGCATATAATAAATGTTTTTCCCGTCAAATATTACTTTATAAACTACAATTATTTCTTGTTATTCATTTTTCACCATATATTGTATAAGAAAATTAAGATATTAATTTTGTTTAAAAAAAAAACTTCTCTTTTTTATTATCATCATCATCATTAGTATTTTTTCAAAGAAATTATCAGTTTTTATTTATTTATTTTTTAATTCGTTAATGTATCTAGAAATTTTTAATTTATTTTCAATGATTGTATTTCTTTATAAATTAATAATAAATTCAATTAATCATAGTTCAATAAACGCCATGGAATCTTTTTACATATGTGACGATATAAAAATGATTGTAACGTATTAA